GAGAGAGAGAGAGAGAGAGAGAGAGAGAGAGAGAGAGAGAGAGAGAATCAGAGAGAGAGATGACGAGCAAAGAGGCAGAGCGGAAACAAGAAAGGGAGAGACAGGGATCACAGCAAGAGTGGAACGGAAACTTCTGCATCATAATGTTCAAGGTATCAACACATGAAACACAACACCGCTTGGCCAACAGCATACACACGGGCACACCACCACTTGGTCAACAGCACACAGCACACACACGGCCTCCAAAGGTAATACCACAAACAAACTGACTGGCACGTTCGAACAAAAGGAGCAGCAGCCTCCTCACCCGATGGGGGAGGTGTTGCGGAAGAAGAAGGCGGCGATGTCGCCCCCGACGGCACCACGTTCTTCGTGAGGGGCTCCGCCACTATCGCCACGCTGCCGTGCCTCCAGGGAGGCACGAGCATTCCCGCCCCTGCCTCCGCCACCGCTTCGCTACTACCGAAGTCGTCTCCCACTTCTTGCCAGAGCACCTCCGCGGGAGAACTCGGCGGCGACACCGTAGTCCTTGTCGAGGAAGCAGCGCCGCCCCCCGCTGTAGCACCGTCACCCGCTTGCTTCGCCTCTTCGCACGAGAGGGGGGGAGCCGGGGACTGGGCCGCCACATCATCACCGGCACCGTTCCGCGGAACGTGCTGCTCCACACTTACCTCCTGTTGGCGCAGGTACATCATCCGCTCTCGCTGGTTGTGGTGCCTGACCCACCGCCTCCGCTCCGTCTCGGACAGGTGAGCCGGCGGGCTTCCATCCGCAATGTCGTCGTCGTCTCCGCCGCCGCCGCCGTCGCCTGGCGCATGGTTGCCGCTGCCACTTCCGCTGCCGTTGTCCTCCCACTCCCCCATCTCGTCATCTGCATCGTCGTCAGCACACGGTACATTGTCCTCACCAACACCAGCAGCTGTATCAGCACCAGCATCAGCACCAGCATCAGCATCAGCACCAGCACCAGCACCAGCAGCAATAGCAGCATAAGCGGCACCACGAGCATCACCGGCACCGGCACCAGCCGGCGCGTCGAGGAAGTGGTTGACCGCCACCGCCAGATCGCCGCCAGCGCCCCGCAGGAAGTACGCCGCCCGCTCGCGGCTCGTACACCCCGTAGCGGCGACGAACCCTTCCAGCAACCTCTCCCTGTTCGGGGAGACTACGAAGTCACCAAACGCTTCCTCTTCCTCCTTGGACAGTCCTCCTGCTCGTGCCCCTGCCTGTGTTCCTGCGGCTGCGGCTAGCGGCGAACTCGGCGAAGTTCGTGGTTTAATCCTCGCGGGGGGTCTCTTTTGCGATACAGCGGGCGATGCCGAGCCCCCCCCCCCCCCC